CCGGCTGTCTGGCCGTCCGGCCGTCCGTCGGTTTATTCTTGTCCGCCCAATAACTTAAGATATCTTTGACCCTTAGTCTTCATATTTGGCATGGATGTTAGTCATGATTAGAAGATGATCCCTATTGATTTTGAGGTCACTAGGTCAAAGGTCAAGGTCACAGGGGCCTTGACTTCAAAAAGCTTGTCCGCCCAATAACTTAAGATTCCTTTGACCTACAGTCGTCATATTTGGCATGGAGGTTAGTCATGATTAGTAGATGACCCCTATTGATTTTGAGGTCACCCGGTCAAAGGTCAAGGTCACAGGGGCCTTCACTTCAAAAAGTTTGTCCGCCCAATAACTTAAGATTCCTTTGACCTACAGTCGTCATATTTGGCATGGAGGTTAGTCATGATTATTAGATGACCCCTATTGATTTTGAGGTCATCAGGTCAAAGGTCAAGGTCACAGGGGCCTTGACTTCAAAAGCTTGTCCGCCCAATAACTTAAGATTCCTTTGACCCACAGTCTTCATATTTGGCATGGAGGTTAGTCATGATTAGTAGATGACCCCTATTGACTTTGAGGTCACCAGGTTAAAGGTCACATGGGCCTTGACTTCAAAAAGCTTGTCCGCCAAATAACTTAAGATTCCTTTGACCCACAGTCTTCATATTTGGCATGGAGGTTAGTCATGATTAGTAGATGACCCCTATTGATTTTGAGGTCACCAGGTCAAAGGTCAAGGTCACAGGGGCCTTGACTTCAAAAAGCTTGTCCGCCCTATAACTTAAGATTCCTTTGACCCACAGTCTTCATGTTTGGCATGGAGGTAAGTCATGATTAGTAGATGACCCCTATTGATTTTGTGGTCACCAGGTCAAAGGTCACAGGGACTTTGACTTCAAAAAGTTTGTCTGCCCTATAACTTTAGATTCCTTTGACCCACAGTCTTCATATTTGGCATGGATGTTGATCATGATAAGTAGATGATTCCTTGTGATTTTGAGGTCACTGAATCAAAGGTCAAGGTCATAGGGACTTTGACTTCAAAAAATTTGTCCACCCATTTACTTAAGATTCCTTTGACCCACAGTCTTCATATTTGGCATGGATGTTGATCATGACTATAAGGTGACCCCTATTGACTTTGAGGTCACTGGGTCAAAGGTCAAGGTCACAGGGACCTTGACAAAAAAAAGCTTTTCTTCTCAATTGCTAAAGAATGTCCTGTCCGCAATGTATTGATTTTGACATTTTCACATTTCAAGCTTGTAGAATACATAACTTAGCAATGCACTGGCTTAGTTACCTCAGATTTGGCAGGGAGGTTGTCCTTGAGCCTAAATGGCCACTGTTGATTCTGACAAAGTGGTATGCGGGGGTATTCACGCCAAGATAGTGGCAGTTCTAGTTTGCTTTAGATCTAAAGTCACGTAGGCATTATATTATGGTTAAGCTTTAAACCTCGTATTATCATTATTATTTCTGTCCATGCACTTAGCTTAAATGTGAACTTAATAACTAAGATTAGTGTGAAGCATTAAACATTAAGTTTTTTTGCTTGGTGGTGATTGTAAATTGCAAAATTTTACTAATACGTCGTCGATACTGAGTTAGATCATGTACATGTGTCTTAATAAAGAAAAGTGAGAAATTTTACAATACATGACTTTTTTTTACATTTGAAAACAAATTCTGCTTCTGCCTCTGTCCCGGCTCTCTGGCTTCCTGAATGCGAGTTGCGGGTATTCTGATACAAGTTTTCGGAACCATTCGTCGCTGGGACATTTGTTCATGTTGAAGAGTGAAACTCGACCTGTAATGTAGTATTATTATATTATAACTTTGACTATTTGACTATGGCAATTTTTTTACTCTTTATCTCATCTTAAAATATTGAAAAGATATTTTGGAAGATGCGTGTGAGCGCGCGCGTGTGTGTAAGAGAGATTCACAACTACCAATATTAAAGTAAGTGTTTTGTCCTGTATTGTGAGGAAATATTTTGCCAATTGTCAATTTTAGAATACTGGTATATTAAAGCAGGTAGGTTTGAAATAACATACCTGAACGTTTGATTATTTCCTGCACGTAACACCGGACCATCCTTCTTGTTAGCGGAAAACCTTGTCCGGCCATGTATAACACGTAATTTACAAGCCCATCTGTTTCTTCTCTGGTAAGTTGTTTCACTGGACCCTTTTTTGTTCTTATATCTGGGTTTTTTACATGATCAGATATTGTTGTTCTGGGGATGTTAAATTCCCTTGCAGCCTTTAATACTGTTAACTGCTTTTTCTTAACAGCTGAAACAGCTTTCATCAGATCATCATCATTGTAGTTTTTGGGCATCTAAAAAACAAAATAAATGACAATGTAGGTATACATGAAGTATTATATCTGAATATGTTACGTGGTCATGAACTGTTGTCCTTGGTTCATTAAATTATTATCTTACTGCTTTAGAAATTGACAATTGCTTTCGTTTAATGCCGATATGCCGAAACGGCATTCATTAGATCTTCATCTCTGTATTTTATCTTCATCTCTTTTTTTAAAGAAGAAAAGAAAAGAATAATTGATTGTATAACATATGGTTAAATTGGCAAAGCAAAAATAAGAGATCAAATTCAGTTTTTCTTGTGTGTTTTTTTTTTTTTTTTTTTTTTTTTTTTGCATGTAACTGCTAAATTATCCTCATCAGCCCATTTGGTGCCCCAGAATAAAAATAAGTCATGTATACGGGAAACAACCTACTGTTCAAGTACAGACTATGATGTACGGAGTTGCCTCCCTTGGTTAGAAAAAATGAGCAAGGGATTCCTATTTTATGCCTTTTTCGCTTTTATTTTCAGGATCTGTCGGTCAAAAATGACAAAAAGTACAAAGTTTTAGCTTATATTGATTTATTATTTTGGATTTTAATGATTATTGGCGACTTTTGATAAATCGTCTGTATTTCGCCGGCAAAGGGGGAAAACTTGTCCTAATTAGTGCCTAATGGAGTTATCTCTTGCGCATGCGCATTAGTAGCACGTGAAATCCCCCGTGCGAAAAATGTAAACACACCTTAGAACGATTATATCTAATGTTTACCTTTGATAGAAGAAATTCAGTTGAGCGTTTCCTAGAGAAGAAGAGTTGCGGTAAACGAAAATAACCGTATTGTCGGATACTACTAGCCGACGGATACTGCTTCGATACCACTAAGTTTCAGGGGCGAAGGAATTTGTTTTCAAGAATTATTTCTTTGAATAAAAATGTCCCTTTCTACGAAATCCGCTACTTTAGATAAAATTATTTTGTAAATTGGACAGTTTTTATGTGTTACATCGGCAAGCCTCGCCACTTTCTAGCCCATACCGGCCTCATCTGATAAAATTGATATCAAAAGACAGTAGCATGTTATCCTCTATTTGTGATGATGCTTGATTACTGCTTAAAACCGTGCAAAGTGGTGTAGTATAGTAATACTGACTTTGGTTGAATATTTTCTGACTACTCGTTATTTAGTGCAACGATCACAATTAATTTCATTGTTGTTTTTTTTTGTTCCTAAATAGACCGTCAACGATTGACCCCCAAAAGCGATCAGTTGCCTTAGTAGGTACATAAGTAGATTGTTTACATGACAATAGAGCTACTATAAGTTTCATATCAATTTGGCTCTTTTTATTTGTTTAATTTAAAATAAATTTTGAAATATTTGAAATGCTATTTAAGCAACTATGTTGGTGGCTTAATTAACAAAACGGTATACTACGTTTTCAAACAACGAATTTCTACATATTTTTAATGATAGAAAAAAGGGGGAAATACAATTGTTGCCTGAAATGTATACGATTCAACAGTTGCATTATTTGGAGGCTTCCATTTGACAGAAAAGGGCAACATGCCACAGATTGTGGATAATAAAGGGCAAATAAAATATTAACGTAGGCTGTAACGAATTACACTGAATTATTTTTTATTGTCTGTAAGAAAGTAGGTAAATTATAAGCTGTTTATTACATTGTGATATATACATAACATAGTATATAAACAACTGATGATATACTAAGGCATTTGCACCCTTCTTATAAGTCACCTTAACAATTCCATTTGTATTCAAGTATATCTTCAAGCACAACTTATTTTAACAATACAGTGATCAGAGATGATCATGGTACCTATTAACGAACGTATTACGGATCCACTTTTTGTTTCAGTTTTAAATGTCCACACATATGGTTGTAAAATGTCGCCAAACTAGGTATTAATGATAAACTGTAAATTTGAAAGTATCAAATTAATTTGTAAAATGTATACTTAAAATTGTGTAAATTTTACAGTACGTTGCAATTTAATGTGTAAAAGGTGCATATTGTTCATAGTGTAAAGTTATTTACAGTTTTGTGTCTTAAATATATAGCTGAATGTTTTAAACTCGAGATTTGAAGAAATGTGTTAATCTGTTATATTGGCTTTCGATCTTTAATGTTTGAACGACAGGTTCTGAATAATAAGTATTCATGACCCATAAAGTCATAAGAAGTCAATGTTTTAAATACAAATGTAGTTCTTTTTGTTTTACTTCATTTTTTTTCATATTTCTAGCAAAAACTAGCATACAATTTGGCTGTAATGTTATGATGATAACAGAATAATTGTAGTATGTGGTTGTAAGACATCATTAATATCATTGCTTAAACTGTGTTACATTTTATGCTCAATGATTCTCAAACGCTTTCGTTTTTCCCCGATACAAAAAGCTACCATCTTAATTTATTGCTGATGTACTTGTTAATTATCGATCTATCAATGACTGCAATTATCATACGATACTCGGCAAAAATAACGTGATTTGTTTAAATGAGAGTTGAGGTTATCAGGTGTGGGCGACAGATAGCATTTACCACTCAGGCGCGTCGCAAGGCTTCCGACAGTGTGGCTCCAATAGTATCATTTTATGGTGGTTGTGGGGTCATATCCCTCCTCGCCCCTCCCCCTCCCCCAAATTACTGAAAACATATGAAATCTGAGAATGTGTACGTTTATTATTTTTAAGATTCTTTTATGATAAAGATTACATTTTGTAGACAATGAGCACAAATAAAAGTAATTATACCCACGACTAACATATTGAAATAGCACAAAATTTGTAAGAAAACAAGCATGTCAACTAAGCTTTGAAAAAGGCTAAATAAAAACAACAAGCATTCATACATACAGCAATGTTCAAAAATAGGTTCCGCAACAATTATAATTTTGCCGTTTATGGGCGTTCTTTAAGTTTCGTTTTTTTCTATTTTGTGTATCTGCAGTTAGGCCAACTTATTAATCGGAAACAAAGAAGATATTATAAATATGAGATAAAGTTATCGTTATGTATACTATAATCAATTTGTTTATTCAGACATGGTACAAGGTAAATAAAAAAAAAAACTATTTATAATTGTACATTTTGTACCAATGAAATTCTGCAGCATAAATATCATAAAACATGTATAATACATGTTATGTACACAGACGTTGTTTCTAAAAGGAACTATTTTTATTACAAGCAGGTTTATATACATGTACAAGAAACAAGGTCAAACCTGAAAATCTTAAACACTCGCTAGAAAATTAAACAATTGCTGCCTCAGACCTTTGACATTAAATATGTGTAGAAACGAATTTCTTAATATTTGTCTTACCTTATCTGTATATTCAGAAAAGCATATTTGTATGAATTATATAAATGCATGTATTTGGGTATTGTTTCTTGTTAAGTATGACCTTTTCATTAAGACCATGGAAAATTTGATAATTTTAACAATAGTATTCCTTGATTGATTTTATTACTTTCTCAATAATCACATCAAATGATTGACTAAAAACACCATATCCGTTTTTCGTTCTGATGTTCATTGTCACATTTTCAAGGTAACAACATTAACACGAACAAAACACATCATTTGAAAGCGGTTTATTAAATTTGGATTATAATTAAAGCAATAATTAATTTTAGTTACATATATAATTCATAACGATTCTAACATTAATGCTGCAATAGCAAATTAAAAAAAAAATTAAAAATCATACCTCTAGTAAATTGGCAATTACGGTGTTAGTTACGGCATATGTATAGGATTAATATAATAATTTTTGTAAGGTTATGATGAAAAGGTCTGTAACTATATTTTAGAACATTAACTGTAAGGAAAGACTAAATGTAGATGCAGGTCAATGTCATTCTCATCTTATCATACAGATTGTATTGTGTTACTGTCTGCTTGTTAACAGTTGTCTTTCTGTTTCTATTCATCGTCTTTTGTAATCTGGTCATCACCAGAAAAAAAAGTGAAGGAGCAGCTCACAAATCCGCATTTGAATTTCTTCATTTTGTGCTCCTCATCTTCCATAAACACTTTCAAAGTCCTTGGTTTCAGAAGCTCCACGTCTTTCTTGTTTTTAGAAACGCGAACAATTTTTGAAAGTTCAGTTCTCAGAGAGTTTATTTCTGATGTCAGAGGTAAACTATCATTCATAAGGTCATATATTGAGCTCCGCAGATTACTTCCCTCGCCGTCTTGAATTAGAACTCGGCGCAAAGCTTTCTCCAATGGACCCAATTCTCGTTCATCCGGTTTGTCTTCATAGTACGTCTTTAGAAAGATTAAAACAATTATATATTTTGGTGAAATAAATAAATAAAATATAGCCCTTTCATCTTTTTATTTATGCATTTTTAGTAGTTTTGGCGGAAAATTAAGGCAGCTGAATTACACAAAAACAACATCTAACATTCCACATGAAAAGATCTATTTCCGGTTATATCTGATGTAATTATGTAAAGCTTTCCGGTGTAGTTATTTATGTTAACTACTTAAGTTTTAAGAAATTCTCATTTGTGTTGATGATATGTGTATAGTGGCATTTTTAACCCAAATGTCTTATTATCTGTCAAGTTCTTTTAAGCTTGCTTTAGTTGGCCTACGACCTATTGCGTTTGGGGTCCCCCTGGGCTCCTTGCCATTGGTTCTTGTTGCTGGGTCATGTGGGGGTTGCGTTCATTGAACGCCGCCTTTCCTTGTTGATCTTGTTTATCATATTTTAAAAAGATAAATGGTAGAAATCTATAGTGGTAGAGAAATATGAGGCATACAAACCTTAATAGACTCATAGGCGCTCATAAAGAGAGCTATGAGGAGGTTGATAACAACTATCGTAAATATTGCGACATATGCTCCAAAATAGAACCTTGAAAACCACCACACCCAATTTCCTCCGCTCTTATCCGATTCCAGTATTGCTAAAGTTGCGTATATCTCGTCGCCATTAACAACAGAAAACAGCGTCTCCCCTGCTGCTGTTGGAGTCTTGAACTATAAAGAGAAAAAAGTAATTTGCCTGGTCATATAAATATTCCTGCGCAATATACATATGGGGACTCTTTTAATGTTGAATAGGTTATTGAACCAATAAAAAGGAAACAACTAGGTAACCCCTTATTTCTTAGTTACGGGTAAAATGCTATATTTGTGACAAAGTAACGATTTAAGCTGATCATTTAATTGATAATGCTTAAAGAAATGTAATCGTAAGAAGGGTTTTATTCATGTATGTGCGATTAGTAGCTATAGAAGTTCGACAAACCTTGACATGGTACGGCGCCAAAACGACATATCCACAAACCCAGAACCCGACAAACAACACTCCTACGCAAATAAGGTAGGCAATCACATCCCAAAATGCTTTGTATAGCGTACTAAATAACAGCTAAAAATAAAAATGTTATAAACTACAAAGAAACCATCAAATAATTGCTCCGACTTTTGACATATTTGATATAATCATTCTTTTTAATCTTACCACTTTTTATAAAGTTACCTTAAACTAAATGATTCAGAAAGGAGTTTTTTTTAGAAAGGTTAAACATTTTGAACATATACAAACACTAATAAGACTCACATGAAATTTATTGTGAAACTTGAAGAACTTAAGCAAGCTTATCCACGCTAGTACACAACCGACTCCTAACCATACAGTGTAGGAATCTAGCAACTCCAGCTCCAATTCACTTTGCTACAAAAATATGTTTTAAGGCGTGTATGAATAAAAACTTTGCAATATATATTTGTTATGTAAGTAAAATATGTTAAATCTAACGGAACGTGTGGTGTTATAAACTATCAAATGTAACAACTGTGAAATACTTGTTTACGTTTATGTACACTGCCCATTATTTTCATGATGTGCATCTCTCATACATTTTTTATGTATTAGACCACAAAGTTATATAAGGAATTCAAACAAACAAATCACATACTGACTTAAATGGCTGCATTAGAAAACATGAAATATATCATAATTTATTTATACCTTTGTATTAAACACTATCCAGATTGTCCCGTACAAAGTCAATATATCGGATATCATAACTGTTATATCCCAAACTTTTAAATACCGAAAGTACTCTGACGCTGGCAGGTCCGTCTCCTCCTTATCAACAACCCCGAAGTAGGACTGATAGTGCTTCTTCATAAATTGCTTAGTTCTCTGAAAATAACATTTTTTTCTACCAACATCCATGTTTGCTAGATGACAAGCATATCCATCAATAGTTCGTAAGAATTCGCTAATTAAAGCTTCGTCACAGATCTTAAATGACTTGAATTTTATTGATCATGGTAATATCGATGTTTTTTACATCGGGTAGGTCACAGAAAGTGACGACTTTTGCCGGACGTGAACGAACCAATGACATATAAACTACATTAAAAACGTTATAAGTATTCATTTTGGCAATTTCTCTAAAAGAAATTTTGTAAAGTAGTATTATTAAAAGCTTTGCCTTAATATTGTACATCTGGTCAAAATAATCCAGTCTGAAAAAAGTATATATACACAGTAAGCAATAAAATGAAATACAAAAAATCCCCTCAATAGTAACATTTTATACATTCAACAAACATTGTTATTGCTATTGTCAAAGGCCTGACTAAATATAATGATAAAAAGTTCACGTGCGATAACAAAACTTTTGTAGTAAGGACTAACTTACCCAGAAAGTATAAGCAGCAAAAAACATAGTGGCAGTGGTCAATACTAATGATATAACACAAAAAGCAATCACTGAGGCCCCGATCTCTTCTGAAGTGTTTTCTAGTTGCCAGTCTATAAATGGAAAATCAAAATTTGATAAATGGAAATTTAAGACATTTAAGAAATTAAAGACATTTTCTCCAGCTAGCACTATATTCCAGTTACAGAAAGTCTTTGAAAACGGGCACAAAACGGAAATTCCATCTTAGTTACAACGATGACAATCATCGTCAAAGTGTATGTTTGACCATTATTATTATATGATAATCTTAACAAATATATGCTAAAATTAAATGCTAATATTGAAATACTCTTTTGCAAAAACGCAACACTTTTTATTGCACTAAAGAAGCTCCTAGGTGAACAAAGTTCAAAATTATTATAAACAATAATATTAACAAACATTATTGTTTAGGGCAACACAACTAAAAGCTCAAACGCAAAAAGAATGGACAGTAACATTTTCTATAAAATAAATGAACTATTCACATATTGAATTTATTACTAACCTGACAAAGGTAGATTCATGTCTTTACACTTTATTCTACTAGATCTTGTATCAAGATCAACCAACACTTGACCATTATTGTCCAGATCAACAAATTCTAACTGTAAAGTAAAATCTTCAAAATCACTAATATATTATTGTACCATGTTTTCAGACCCAATCACCATTGTTACTGTTGTCTGCTCGTGAACTATGACAATACGATCTTTTTCTCCAAGTCAAATGCTTTGGTATAAAGATACCATCATAGATCTTATGATTTTGTCGTAGGGCTTGCTCTTTTTACTTTTTATAAACAATAGACGGAATAACTTTAACTGCATCTGCATCTGCAACATTGCATGAAAGCACTTCAATAATACATATCATTGGTTTTCGAGTTGCCAACTGTATTGAAACGAAAACAAATGGTGTTGAATCTTTGAAGTACTTGAAATTTCGAAACATATTCTAATTTAGACGTATAATTTCATACGAGTGTTTCCGATGAATCTGTAAGAAAGAGAAAATATACTCACCGAGCCCTCTACTCGTAGACATGTTGCTTTCTTACTCATTTCATGCGAACGTACAGAATGAAGCTTAAAGCGAAGTGTTGTTGACAACATCCTAACAAATAACAAAGATATATCACTAAATAAATGTAAAAACTCAAGTACAATAATCCCCTCCCCGCGCCAAAACAGGACCTTGGTTGCATAAAATATCCTGTATATTGAAAAGTTGTAACGACATTTAAGTGAAAGATTATATATGTATATAGTTATTCTTCTAAAACAAAGAATATGTTGATGTGTACTGCAAAAGTTTATATGCATTATAAGTAATCATTAAAATGTATGCATTCATTTCTTATTGAAAAAAAATCTAGCTCAGTCTTTATCGAAAATAATTTCTCTAATTTTCTCCCTTTTTTACATGAAATGTAAATTCAGTAATATCTTTAAAATAATGGTTTTTAGAACTTACAATATTAATAAATATCCATTCGGGCATTTGGTATTAAACAATAAAACATTGAGTTACAGGACTTTAAAGATTGGTGCTTCAACAAATCAGGTTTTGGAGTTTTGGAAAATTTTCCAGCAACTCAAAATAATGATACCCAAGGATAATAAAAGTAATGCTTTTAAATCATTGTTATATTGCCTTTTTTATTTATTTGCGGGGTACAATTTACTGCACAAAGTATTACTGGTGGTAGGTTTTAAAGTCATTTCCTTATTACATATAATTGTAATGTCAAAAACAACTTACGTACTTCAGTAAAAGTATTATAAAGTTTGAAAAGGGCAATGAATGAAGTCTGTTTTTATGAAAACAAATATCTAAAGTCTTGAAGAAAGTACCTGACACATTACAATCGACACTTAAAATCCACGTAAATTACCAAAAAGAGGTCAAAGTAAGCATAAACAGCCCCTACTGCGTTAGTTACGCAGTAGAAATATGGTGATAAATACTACATAATACAGTCATAATTGCACATAAGATATAAATTATCTCTTGATTCTTTAATTTGTTCATTTTTCTCAAAGTTTTAGTATGGTTTTACCAAGTTTAATTTTCTTGAAATATTTTGGGTCATCTGGAGGCATGCAGCTTTAATACCAAAATAAACAAACCTTTTAATTGGTTGCGACATATTGTGATGATCAAATTCACGGGTGATATTATAACTGTACATAGTCTCATTTTCTTGCGTCACTTCTGCAGACAGTCCTTTGTCAATTGGAAACGTAATCTCTGCAAAAAATTGCAAAGAACGCGCATTTTTGTAGCAGTTTACAAAACTTTTCTATCATCGGACGTAACTTGTTTTCTCAGACCATGTTTTACATTCCCCTTTTCTTTTTCCGGTATATTAACAATATCATAAATTTCCGTCAACCAAACCATCTCGAAAAAACAAAAGCTCAGACACAGAGAAGAAAAAATGTAAAATTTAGTGTACACATAGAATAACCCAAAACTTTTTTTCTTTCTTTTTAAACAATGTTAAACATATCAAACTTATATATGAACTCCGTTTTCATCATGAAATGTAATCAAAAGTGGCGGGAAAACTTTTACATGTTTGTTTGGTTTTATTTTGGGTATTCTGGGTTTGTGATTCATGGGTTTTTGTATTCATTTATTTATGTTATTTTTTTCTGTTTTTGCTATTGAACTAGTATGGTTTACCAGATATGGTTATTCCCTCTCCAGTACTCGCACCATGAAAACCGGGAAAGTCAAAATATTTCATTGTTGCTGTCATTTTGTCGTCTGCTGTTCGAACATAGTACCCAATGGCTTCTCTTTCTGCGTTATAATACTGCAATATTTCAAATGGAAAGTTATACAAATAAGACGGAAATATATGGCAATTGCAATTTTATTTTTTTTAAATACATTTCGAATCATAAAGAATTCGATGGTCAATAAACTCGACATTGAATATTTATCTCCGGCAAATAAAATTAGAAAAATTACATTATCATAAATACATATCAGACACGTAATAAGAGTTTAGTTTTTGCAATAAAATACAACGCATTTTTTATTATCTGAATAATTTTAGCACGTTGTTGTTCGCTATTAAACAGGAAGTTCATCATAAGCATATATATGCTATCACGTATTATTTTGATTGAGCTCCCTTCTCATCTCATTTCATACACTCACGTTACTTTACACAAGAAAGTGATCGATAGTGAAACATTCGACGGATTCGCAGGAGAGTCTGTTTTAATACAGTTTCAATATTTAGTGACTAGTATCATAATAAATGTTAAAACAACTAATATCCTATTCATATTATTATGTCTAAAATAATACATTATCATCCCTAAGTTTTTATGTATGTCAAGTTATTTGAACAGCTAGCTTCCGGACTTAGTGTACTTGAATATCCTCTCATTTTCTGTTTCGATATAGTTAATATGATGTAATGAGTATTCTTGTTTTTAAGTTTGCTGTTGTTTTAATCCAAGCCTCAAATACAAATCTCCCTCATCACAAATAGTACTTCCGTGTCTCAGATTCCTTCTAATACTGTGAAACAAATTGTTATCAGCTAAACTTTATGTTCCTTTGCTACAAGTTTTAATACGGAAAAATGAAGCGTATACAACATGTACATAAAATGTTACTGGCCGATTCGATATTTTCATTCTGGCATGTATGCCTATATGAAGAGGGCATAGAGTTTTAAATCTAAAGATTTTTTGGCTATAATTTATAACTTGTTTTGCTTAGCTTTGTTTTTGTTTTCTTTTAGAAATGTTCATTTTCCATTTTTGGGATATCAAGATAAAGGTCAGCAAACAGTGAATAGCCAGGTCACCCCTGCACACTGGACTGCTCTATACTGGTGCTAAATACTTTATCACTGTAGGATCTAGCATGGCATAAAAGTAACTGTACTTACGTTTTTAACAGCATAGTTAATACCACTCTCAAGATCATCTATCGTATACACGGCAAAGTCTCCTTGTGCAGGAGGATATGGCAGCGTTTCCCAGCCTGTAAAATTAGCAGCTGTATAGTCCATCAAAATATCGGAAATGGTATTTTGTTGCCTTTCGTAGTGAAACAGTACTTTAAAACTACTTGCCCAAGGAATAATTTTGATATCTTTTTAAGTATTGAAATTTAATTAATTTCAATTATATTCCTAATTTTGAAATCCTAGCAGGTGCGCATGTGCACAAAAAGAACCATAAGTATTAAATAATGACTTACTAGCATCCCAATGTTCTAAAAGAAGATGTCGAAGGACAAGACCGCCTCTGTTGACAACTGAACTAAAGTTTCCTCGGTCATTTCCAAAATGGATCATCTAAATTGTAAAAAGTAATACAAAATCGTCAAACTTTAATAAAGAAGTAAGTGAAGTAAAACAATTAGCCTAAATAGTTAAATACTTTTGGCTGCCGACTTCGAATACATTGTAATTCTTTTTTATAGCTGATACATTTATTAGCTTAAATCTGCTCAGAACTTTGTAACCTTTCGTAAATTAGATACTTTAGATTGATATAGATAAACCAGGTGATTGCTGAAGCATGTACCATTCCTACTCAATTATGCCATTTTTTTAATCTGTAAAACATATATATATTTATCAAAGAATTTCAGAGGCTTATATCCATTTTCAACTTAAGAAAACCTTGGAATGACATACAAAGAACCATAAACACATAGTAATGATAATACGAAATAAATGAATAAATAAAAATGGTTTCAAGCATCAAACCTGGGTTGTAAGTAGAGCTACTTTTATGATTTGCATCAAGAAGACGAAACAGTAAATAAAATGGAAGTTGCATATGTTCCCCTTAAATTTGAATGCTGAATAGAAGTAAAGCCTCAACAGTCTACGAAGTCTCTTTGCTTCATCCTCGTAATCAGTGACTTTGTTTCTTTTCCTTTTGGTATTCTTATCTGTAAACATGCAAATCGTGTTTTTATTGAAATGCTTATTGGTAAAAAGTTATCTATTTAACAATACTTTTTAAGTATTTTGAATCAAACTAAAAGTACATATTTATCGAATCAAAATTGTCGTTTCTTTTGTGATGAGTAGCAAGGGGCGACAAGTCGGTAAATATACAGTATCTGTATAGTAAAGAAATGGTATGATCGTAAATCGTTTTTTTCTAATTAAAATGCGGTATCTAGAGGCAGAATTGCTTCTCTGACGTTGGTTATATGAATGCCAATTCAATTCAACCACAAAGACGGCTGTTAATATAAAGAAGAAACTTTCGGAGAATTTGCTTAACTCTTTGCTTAGATATTGCTGGTTCTCTTCACTTTAAACTAAACATCTTCATTCACAATACAATACTGGGTTGATGCACCTTTTTGTGCATTAAAATACGAAGGATTCTACAAGATAATGTAAATGCACGAAAGTAGGTGTTTAGCGTTGAACTGTTCGGCAATTCTACACTTCGTAATTGATTTTTGGTGTGAAAAACCGTTTTTAGGATGTTTTGAACTTGACAAATATGTTTTTTATTTGCATTCGTTGACAGCTATTTTACATGGCACCCTGAGTCAACCTCATGTTTTGAAAACTTCTGCAACAACGACAAGCGTGGTTTTATGCATAATGAATGCATGCATGGTGATACTTTATTCAAGAGTGAACGTGTATTATAACTGCAAAAATTTTATCATTATATTGTACGTGTCTATGCATTCACATGTATCTGCAATTACATGTTTTCATCGCATTATAATAATTATCATTATCTTATTGTTTAGTTTAAAGTACAAACTTACCGTTTATTTCTAATTCCATCCTTTCGCTAGGTTAGGTTGAATGACATTAAAACGAAATAACACTTCTTGCAATTTTAACTTTCAATTTCAGTTCTATATAAACGAAAGCTATTTTACGAGCATCCTAATTAGATAGAAACACATCTATGTTTCACTTCAATAAGTAGTTTCTGTTTAAATTGAAGATATACGCCTTCTAAAGTCATGAGTCCTACATAAGCTCGGAAGTAATCGGAGTAGCTCGTAATCTCCCAAGCGTTTTTTCTTCTCGGATCAATATAAAACTCGAATAAATTGAACGCTTTAAAATACGATTAACAATGGGATAATATGTAAAATTCAAGAAAATGAATTGTTGATAGATGGAAAGAGAACCTAACCGAATGTGTAGCAATAAACTGTTATAAGTAGATATACAAAACTACTGTCTTTATTAATACAAAGAAATCATCACATAACTTGACAGGAAGTCAGTACTTATTGGATAAAAATGGTGCAATGAGAAAAAGTGAACATTTTAAAAACTGGACCGAATAAGACAGCTCGACTATTGCTACAACCATCATATCATTTACTCTGTTCCTCGTTACCTTAATAACTTTCCCGACACCTAGGAGATCAACCGTGTCATTGTAGGCATTTGTTTAAATCAAGTGTAAAACAGTATAATGGAGTCGAGACTGCACAACTCTTATTAAGCCCATACAACTGGTTCTTTTTTAGGGTATGGGTGTGGTTGTTGTTTCTCCCAGCTCTGTCCTCGAGCAACTCGGCATATTTTGTATTTAAAACTTTTTACATTTAGTTTGATGGAATGCTCAACACGTTATATTACTTCAAAATATAAGTAGTCATTGTTTTAAAATAGAAACATGATATTCCGTTTTGTTTGAAAACAATTAAACAACCATTGTAGGCTAAGTGTGCGCATACTTTCATTTTGCAGAATGTGTTTGTTCAAGTTTATAATGTTTACATGACTTTAAGATACATTGCAATCTCAGTCAAATTTAAGCCGAAGTTCATTAGTTTTATAAGAAATATAAATGTATTTCTAACACTCTTCACACATTTCCTCTATCAAACAAATAGGACAATTACGTGCAATTTTAAATGATAAATGTCTAGCATTAAAAAAGAATGTTTGCACGTCATAAGACGGATGGGTGGTAGTTTGTAGGCGGCCAAATAGCTTAGTCAGTAGAGCCGCAGTACTGTATTCCGAGGGTACCAGGTTTGAGTCTCGGTTAGGCTTCACATTAATATATATATATATATATATATATATATATATATATATATATATATATATATATATATATATATATATATATATATATATATATATATATATATATATATATATATATATATATATATATATTAAATGGAGGTGTTTCAGTCATTACTCGTGGAGAAAAAAGTATTTAGTGAGTAAAGTATGTAATGCATCAATGTAAAGGGAAAACCTCAGATGATTCTTACAGTGTAGAATTAGCGTCTGACTGCAAGTGTTGTATAGCTTTGAAAATTGTACATCCTATCTCTAATTATAAATCCTACCGTCTGTTGAGGCCTTAATTAATCTTTTATTGCACTGTCTCATTCCTTTCGCTTCCAAGTAATTCCAGACAGTCGTAGCGGCAGCGTAAGATAAATGCAGTAAACGTTGCCGCTGGTCGACAACGATCTGTGTTACATTGTATTAGAAGCGTGTCAGCAGCGCGTAGTGCGTCGGAGCATCGCAGTACTGTCGTTATGAAGACCATAGTTTGCCAATTTGCTCTATTTTGACCACATTCAAATATATAAATGTTGCTGCAATGCAGCAATTGAGAAGCTCCGCGCAAAAAAGCGCTCATTACAGATACCTTACCAAATTATTCCTATGCACAGGTCATGTTATATTCTGATTAAGTACTATTGTAGAATTTTTCCGAATGTTTTGTAAACCATTTTTTGCATAATTATACTTATCTAAATGTGCACTGACCATAATTAAAAAGAAGGGAAAGATATTTAATCTAAAACAAAAATGCTTTCGCTGATGCCTACCTGGTAAGAAAAGTAATTCCATTGAATACAAACAAGACTTACAAGACTTGTAAATGTTATGTGACATGACTGTACTGTGTTCTGTTTGTGTCACTACTGTAGTCAGTAACATAAGATGATAAAAATATCAAAGTCTGTTTTTATAATTATAATTGTAACAAATATACAAATAGTATCAAAAGGGACTGATATTATAATATAGTAATATTACATGCATTTTTTTCATGTCAAATTAAAAAAAAGTTTTCTATCAATACTGAACGTAGAATACACTCTGGAATGAAAAAATGGGATGAATTTCAAAAAGACGGAATTTTTGTTTGTTATACACGCGTTATGTGATGATACAGTATTTATCAGGAATGTAAGACTGTTACCTGAATTTTTATTAAACATATTTTATTGCACACACACACACACACACACACACACACACACACACACACACACACACACACGCGCGCGCACACCAACACACACACACACACACACACACACACACACACACATACATACATACATACATTTTCACAATTATACATAAATACATTAACGTACATATACAAAAGCGTTGGGCCAAAAGTTATAACAACATTATCGGGGGCCCTCCCCTGAAAATACTGACTACAATGTTATTTAAAAATAGATGTGAAAAAGACATATGTAAAGTATGATAAATTAAGTTGAAATCTAAAATAAAAATAATGAGAAAAACAATCTTAGTAAATAAATGTTTTTTCTGATATTTGAAAAAACACGTCGCCTACTCCCTACAACAGTTTTACTATGACAGTTGACAGTAGTCTAACAATTTGAAAAGAACCATAAAAACAATGTATAAAAGAAAATCAAATGTTGTTAAACTATATTAACCTTTTCGTTTCTTTAATAAACTGATGAACATGATTTGAGAATTAGTTAAAGTATTTATACCAAAAAGTAACTTTTGCGTACTGAGAGGATGAAATTCTCTTGTATTTCTAAAAAGTTCTATCCTCTGATGATTAAATTTTTGGCACTGAAATAAAAAATGTTCAGCGTCCTCTTTTAAAATTCCGCATTCACAAGATGGGTTTTGTATAATGTGATGACCTGAATTTTAGGCAGGTATGAGGAAATTCACTAACATCATGTTCGTGCGAGTCAAAGATATAAAAGCTATTTGACATTAGTGATCTATAAAAAAAACTATTGTTAATTGATTTATTGGGAGATCAATTTTTTTGTTGAATTGCTTTAAATCTATATATAAAAAACATTACACTTCATGTTCAAACTGCAGATTAAGTTTCTGTTGTTATCAATGATGCTATCTATCTTTAGCCTATGCTTAATGAGGGCGGCCTCAAGATGCAGGTTTCGCTGCCGAGTACGTTCCCCCAGACATGTCACCAGTTATACCCTTTTAGCACTAAGTTTTTGTTTGTTTGTTTGTTTCATTTTACGCCTTTTTCCAACAGTATTTCAGTCATATAGGCGGGTAGTTTCCTAACCATCGTTCCTGGAGAGTTACACCAGTACTAGACTACCTTCCTCCGCGCTAAACTACCACAGCTTAGCACTAAGTAGTATGCTGTATCAAATAGCCAAGGAAATTTAACAGTAGTATGCTGTATCAAAGAGCCAAGGAAATGTAACATTATATACTAAAGTTTAATTATTTAAAAACAACCAATATATCAACATGTTATTATTAAACATTTAATTTCATAAATATAAATTAAAAATAATTATCAAAAGCAAAATTATTAAAGTCTTATGCCTGAAATATTCTTTATATTGACAAATTCAATCACTAATAGTATAGTTGATATGCTGTGTGTAAATGTAATTCAAAATCTAACAAATTATAATGTCATGTACTACTAAAAAAGGGAAATAACAAATTTATAACCTAGGAAACCAATATAGAAATCGAAAGGAGTTCTTGAATGCGGATTTACTTTTAGCTGCAAATCGAAGGGATTTATTGATCAAATCCGGGCCTATGGACAAAAAAAAAGTAAATGGGGGCGCCCTGTGGGCGCGGAGCAATAATGGAACTGAATGAACATGCACGATAAATTTAATTGAAAAAAAAAAAATTCTCTATTTAATAAGAACAAAAACTAAGTTTATACAATAATACCTTTTACTATTTACAACATGCTTCGGGCACGTACTCAGACGTGTTCATTGCATAAGACCCTCGTGAAATGATATTTAAATTCCATTTTTCTGCCTAAGTCTTAATCATAACTTTATCAATATCTGTAAAAAGTGATCCATCAGAAGGATTTAAAACAACAAAATAACATTTACGCTGCAAACTCAGTTTGGTTGAGTCTTTATAGACAGTCATCTTCCGCAATTGGACAGGAAATCTATATATTTTCATGTTTTAAAACAAAAACATAAATGCCAATGTTAAAGCATCAATAAAATACAATGTAAATCAGGAATACAAATATTTTTTAGGTATTTGCTTCGAATGATATTGACAATGCTAAATTTTATGTTAAACATACTGTTACTTTTACATATCATTGTTCACTTACATGTATAATTTCGGGTAAATAAATAGATTGCGTCTCTGTTCAAATTTATTTCACAATTTTACTGATATAATTTTAGTATTGTGAAATGTTGGTATACAAAGAATAATGGCTAATTAAGATTGTTCCAGGTGGCTTTATCATGTACATATTGTTATTGTCACCGGGCCGGGCTTTCATAAGATCTTAAATTGGATCACAATTCTCGGAGTCTGTAGGAAGCTCTCTTGACACGTCAGAAATGTTGTAGATTCGGCTTAATTGAGCTTTGTCATGTACGATAATGGATAATTAATGATGCCGTGCATTATTAGCTAAAAAATATTACGTGATCCTCCTTTTCATGTCAATAAATATAACAACATATTGCATATTGCATTTCGTCATAAAATCGCAAAATGTCATTTATTTTGCAAATTAAAGACATTTTATACTGTATTTATCACATTTGTTTTTCACATTGTTATTATTTTGAACCAAATAAAATGGACTGTAATCAATTAAATGTCACTCCAGTCTGGTGCATCTTTTTGTCGGTTTCCACTAGCCGTTGCTTATCATCATGGATTCTTTTTTGCAGAAAAATGGGGTTTACACGCGCTATATCCATACATCGTGTGTTGTGCCAAAGAGATTGACGGAGATTAAGTTCCATCTTTCAATTTAAAAGAATAGAACGCATTTGAGAATATTTTGATTGACATTGGGTCGGACAGTTGCTGACAACATATAACATACCGTGCAGTGTCTGTCTAAAATTAAATTTTAATAATCTTATAATAGAACATTATTAAAGAAGGTATGT